TTTAGTGTTTATGCGAGGGGCCGCCATTACCGCTACCGCTATAGTATACTTTCTGAACTATAAATCCAGCTTTATACAATTTTTAACAAATTTTATAATTTTCTAAAAATTCGATAATATTTTTAACCCTGTTTCTATCACTTTTTTATGATTAAATTATAATAATTATTGTAACATAATTATTACAATTATTGTAACATAATTTTCCGAAAATTTGATAATTTTATTAACCCAATTCGATAATTTCAACTTTTAAATCTGGCTAAATCGGCTAGGCGTTGACTCCATAAGAAGTCTTATTTGCCTTAATTCATGGCTTATGAATTCCGATTTAAAAATTTGTTAAATTTAAAATCTAGTTTGCAATTTTAGTTTCAACAGGATTATCATTTATTATTTTTAATTTACATTTTTGTGAATCGTTCTAGCAAACAATGTGTTCAATAAATTAAAATATGTTATGTTATGATATATTTTTTACAAATAAATACGTTTTAGTGTTTTTATTATTAGTCAAGATATTTCAAGATTTCTTGTTTTCTTGACAAGAAATCTTGGTATTGACATACAATTTCTTGTCCTGTCTTGAAATTTAAATTTACTTCTTGTCTTGATCTTGTCTTGAAATCAAGACAAGATCAAGACAAGATCTTGAAATTTTCAAGAACATGGCGACCCCTACTAACGGAATGGTAAATAAGACAATTAAATTATGTTACTCTATTAAATACAATGTCGTTTAAAAGTAGAACGTGTTTCCAGGGACGTAGCGAAGGTTTTGATTATGCGGGGTGATTTTGAATAAAATGCCTCAACGATTTTTAACTGAATTATTTTCAGAAATTAAGTTTTTAGGATTGCATTGTTGATATTATACGCTAAAGAAGTATCGGGTTTTCGCAACGCGCGCGCCATCTGGTGGTGAATTTAAGAATTGCCAACAATACATTTAAAGCATCAATTTTAAATAAATAGGTAGTTTTTTCACAAAAGAGAGTCTTTCTCGACAAATTTCATTCAATTGCACAGCTAAATCGCGCACGTTATTTGTGTTTAACGTACGTTGCAAGGAAAAAACTAAAAAACTGGTTTGGTACTCGATTTCGATTGATTATTCTTTATATCATTGATTAAGAAACTCAACGCTTAAATGCTTATATAGATACGTTAGTGTGTGGATTTCATCTAAGGGATCATAGTGAATTATTGTGTTTTTAATTGTAAATAAAATTCAAGAACTAAATCGTTGCATTTTCATGTTTTGCCAAAGGATCCAATTCGGTAAGTACATTTGTTGGTGCAGAATTAACTAATGATAACTTTACCTAATATAATTTATATTTAAATTTGGATATTTTTAAGAAATTAGTAAAAAATAATTTTTGCACAAACATAACCTTAAAATCAACCATTTTTATATTTGAGTTCTCTAAAAAACGCCGACAACTGCATTTTAAACAACAAAATATACCTACGAATTCATGGCAACATAATATTATATAATACATAATATAATGGTATTTTACCGTTGAGTGGAGACTTTAAAGAATTCTTAATCAACGCTTTTAACAATGCTAAATGCTGTTTAAATTTAGACGACTTATTTGTTTGACGATTATTACTGAATTGAAATGTTTACACTTTTCACGTTAATCATTACTAAAATGTGTATTTATTGTATCTAATGGATACAATTTATCTTTACAAGGACTGAATGAAATTTATTTCTTCATTCGGATTATCGCAGGGATGTTTGCGAACTCTGACCTTTTGTGCTAAAAATTGTGGATAATGTTTGCTCAATAAATATATTATTATTATTATTATTATTAACACTGTTTATTGGAAAACCGATAAAAAAGGATTTCCTCTCGAAATACACCCAACAACACAACAAATCGTGCCACGGTTTTTTTTCGATATTTATATGCCGACTCCGAAAAACGAAATAATATCACTTTTTTGGCAAAATGGCAGTGGACCAGTGTAATTTGAAGCACGCCACTGATTGGACTAGTAAATGAACTTGTTAGAAATCATTGTTAAATTTTAATGATAGAGGTTAAGTGCGAAGATAAATGATAAAAGCCGCAATTAAACCGCGGTTATATATTTATGAGTTTATTAAGTTGTCTTTTACTGTTTAAGGTGTCCGTAAAGGTGTGATGCGGTATTTCGAAATGGGTTATGACTTTAATCGAGCAATTATATAATAAATCTTTTTTTAATAGCTTTTATTATACGCTAGACGCTAGACGCTTTATTTAGATTTGTGTAATAGTATACTAATAATATATATATTATGAATCAAGTTTGATAAACGCCATTTTAGTCACGAATTTAGTTTAGGCATGAGTGAGCTTGCGAGCGGGCGCTTAAGTTAATGAGTGTATAGAAAAGTTTATCAACGAGTCGCATAATATTTTAATATTATTTAAAAAAATTATTTTAATAAAATATTTGTATAAAGCGAAATCTATAAGAAAATAATGTAACCATCCCAAAAAACATTTTTGAGAAAATTTTCACCATTAACATTACCCGTTATTATTTTAATTATTGATACTGTAAAATATTAAAATAACTTATGTTAAGAAAATATTTTTTCTACTCCCACCTTTAACGCCCTTTATCGTACATGTTTCCATGGCGCTTTAGTCACGGGCTGAAGTTAGCAACAGGTTTTTAGTCACGGATTGAAGTTAGTTTTAAGTTAGTTGACAGTTGTCAAATGTCATACAATCGTTAAAATAAAGTGCCTTTCTTGTAAAATAATACTAAATGTGAAAATTTATTAAGTATTAAATAGTTTCTCAACGCCAATATTTGTTTAAATGAACATTGTACTGACCTCTTAATTTCGCCGGCAGTAAACTATAACTTAAATTCGGGCACGGACTCCACTGTAAAGTGCTCATAAAACATTTTCTTTACTTTCACTGTGAAAAACTGTCAATTTTCAAGAAATACATTTCGATTTATAACCTTTATAATTGTGTTTATAAAATGCAAAAATTTGACATTTGACGGTGACACACAGATTCCCCTATTGTTTCATAGATGGCGCTCTATACAAATTTTTGATTTAAATCATTTTAAGATAATAATAAGTATTTGTCGTAGAAAAAGTATAGTATGCACCTCGTTTATAAACTTTTCTATACACTCATTATACTATTATACAATACATATGCAGAAGTAGGTATACTTACCTGTTATCACTAAATATATAAGTGGATTGTAATAAAAACATGCTATTATATAAATAATTTAAATAACCCAGCATAAAAATAAATGCTTTCTATAAATTTCTATTAATTTATTGTAATTTTTTCTGTATTTCGCACAAAACATGTGTTTCACTAATGTAAGACATCGTTCAACATATGTAAACCTTGTTTTAATTCTAAAAAGGTAGCTTATATTCTATCTACATACACACATATGTGAACTACTTACTTGCAATTTGAGAATTTATTGTTTTGAATTTTAAGTGTCCATACATAATATTTACTTAATTTTTTTTTGGGGTTTATTTATTAAATCATCCAATTATGTTTCTCGATTATTTTACAAACCATATAGAATGTTTATGTACAAAATGTATAAAAAGTGGAAATTCGAATAAAAAAATAAATTGTATACAATAAATATAAATTGCACCTATTAGATACAATAAATACACATTTTGGTAATTATTTACGTGAAAATTGTAAACATTTCAATTCAGTAAAAATCTTAAAACAAATAAGTCGTATAAATTCAAAACAAGTATTATATACGAGGTGTGTTCGGAAAATAACGGGAATTGTTAAATTTCGCGGCTTCGGGGGGTCTGGTTGTCATAAAATTTTCTTTATTATGTTGGTATACATGCCCCCGAAGTATGATAAAAACTTTAGCTGTTTTAATTGTTTACTTTGTCTGTGGCAGCCGCTAAGGTTAGACGTGTTTTATGAGCTCGGCGATTTTCGTTCGTTAAAAGAAATGGATCAAAGAATTTGTATCCAATTTTGCTTAAAAAATGAAATAAATTCTGTGAAATGTTAACAAAGGCCTATAGTGAATCTGCTATAAGTAAAACAAGAGTTTACAAGTGATATAAGAGTTTCCAAGATGGCCGTGAAGACGTTAAAGATGACGTACATGTGCAACCGATAAAAACATGGAAAAAGTGGAAGAAATGGCTATAAACCATCAGAGAAGTCGCTGATGATGTTGGTATATCGATTGGCTCATCCCATGATATTTTTTCGAATGTTTTGGGTATGAAACGCGTGGAAGTAAAATTTGTTCTAAAATTGTTAATTTTTGAACAAAATTTTTGGCCAAAAACAATACTGTATGATGCCACAGCTTCCATATTCGCCAGACATGCCTCTGTCTGACTTTTTCCTATTCCCAAAAATAAAGAGAACCTTAAAGGGCCGTCGTTTTGCAAGCATAGATGACATTAAAAGCGCATCGCTGAAAGAACTAAAGGCTATCGCAAAGATCGAGTTTTAGAAAGGTTTCGAATATTGGAAGAAGAGCTGGCACATGTGCATAATTTCCAATGGGGACTATTTTGAAGGCGACAACATTAATGTAGACGAATAAATAAATATTTGGTTCAAAAAACGAAAATTCCCGATATTTTCTGAACACAAATCGTAATATAAACACTGTTGACAGTTGTTAGGAACACGTTACGAATTAGAATAATTTGTTACTTCTTTAATGGCTGTAAACCACTTGAATTAGGAAATTAAACAGATTTGATTGCGCGCTCCGTGCATATTTATTGTTCAAATTAGCCTAAGAATGTCAACAGCGAGCTCCGAAATTTCGCGGGCGCCTTTCCTTGCCCGTCACAACAAAATTTCACGAGAGGCTCTCGGTATCGCCTCGCCTCTGCCAAAGCAAGTTTGAATGAAATTCGGCGGATGGCCGTAGAGCGCAGGTCGCCGAAGAAATGCGGAATATATATTAAAAAATAACCGTGTTTTCGCAGTATACGTACTCCAAATTTTGTTAGAAGCGCGCCACCACTCGAATACCAGAGCGCGTCCGATCTTCCGAATTTGAATGAAACTTTTTGCGGACGAAAATATGTAAATTGTTAGAATACCTCGACTTGGAAAAGACCAAAGAATCATGGAAGACTTAAATGACACAATGAGCAACAATGACAACACGACATTGGACGCTTTTTACTATTACAAGGTAGGAATTAACCATAAAAAATATTTTTTAAAAATGTCATACAATCGTCAAAATAAAGCGCCCTTCTTATATAGGGCTTAAAAACTAATTTTATTTTGAAATAATATTTTAGCTATTAAATTGCCTTATTCTCTACTAAACGTTTTTAGTTGTTTTATCTAAATTGAAAAACTAGTACATTTTAGCATATAGGAGGCAGGTGAGGCAGTGCCTCATCAAAGAGAATTAAAAAATTTAGTATAATTTAAATATTTTACTTTCTATAATATACTATAAATTTTTAATATTTGGATTTAGTCAATAAAATTGATTGATTTTATACGTGGAAAACCCAGCAACATTTAAATCATTTGAATTTGAAACGACCGCAATTTAAACTAATATTTATAGCTAAATGATTGGCTCAGAATCACGCCTGAACTAATTTAGACTCACGATTGGCGTTAGCCTTGTTGTCTCGTTCTATTACAATGCGATATCATAGTTGTATCCTTCTCTCGTATTAGCATACGCGAGGCAGGCACGCCTACATCCAAGGAAATAAGCAGGTGTTGTGGCAACACTGTTGCGGAATTTTAGATAAATTATACTTCACACGTTTTTCAAAATTCAATAATAAATCGATTTAATCGAAATTATATTTCTATTCTAAAATAAACATATTTTAACACTATCGCCATCTTGAACCCATCACAGTCACCAATAAAAAAATACAGATTCCTTTTTTAGGTTTGTTTTGGTTATAAAATTCTGAACTGTTTAAAGAACAAATCTGTGGTTATTTACGCAATATTTTGTTTATTTTTTTTCCATGAGTTTGTCTATTTTATGATTCTTTTGTAAGTGGTTTATTCTGTGGGTTTAGTTAATTGAACTTGGTGATTTATGTGAATTTAGTCATTATGGATATTACGGTGAGAAATTGTACCGATATTGTTGACCTTCACGTGGTTCTTGCTGAACAATAAAATATTAATTAGACAAAAATGAGGTTTATTTAAAATAAACGTCATTTTTATAATAAAATACATTTCATTGACAAAGTAGAGGATTCCTTCCCCACCACAGTCTAAGTTTTATTACTTAGTTTTAAGTATATGAACTGCGACGTCAGTTTTTTTTAAGTTGGGTTTAAAAAAAATTTCTTCGCCTTTAAATGAGGGCGAAACCCTGCCTCTGCCTCACCAAAATGAAATATCACGGGCCGCCACTGACAGGCCTCCAAAAGTATAATATGTACTAACCATCTACCACATAATTACTGTCACAAATAACCTTAAAAATAATACTTATTGCAAGCAATATACACACATATATCGACATATGAAGAACATATGAAAAAAGTTGTAACACCCGAAACGTTTCGGTTGTTACAGTTTTTAATCAAGAAAAACTCATACCAAATTAGTCCCATGCTCAGATATTAGTTGGTATTTTAAATCATTACCACCATATCGTTACTTTTTCTAAATATTATTGCACTAATCAATCTGTAAGGTATAATAATAAAACAATTATGTTGCACATTATAATTTGGAATGTTTTCTTTCAAAATTCATCAGATTTAATGCAAAAAGAACATTTAATTTTTCACCCTCAGTATCGTTTGTCATGGAACGACCCATAACTTTTGTTTTATTTGACACTTCGATTGATAAAATAATAATTTTGTAATTTAAGTTTATAAATCATTCATTATTTTGTAATTTGTAATAAAAAAATGAAACGATAAAATATTGTCTTAACAAAATCATATTTTGAAGTTATTTTAATATTAACTGATCTACAAAAAAGTTTTTTAAACTTTTCCCCTGAATAATTCATTGGCATTTATAAATGTTGCAAAGTGATAAATAATAATACTTTTTAAAAAATATTTTTATTGAAATAAAGAAAAAAATTAATAACAGTTAAAAGCTTATTTTAATTATATATATACTGGAACTAAAATTTATAAAGATATTTAAAAAAAATTAATATTTTTTACGGTAGTTTTGCCATCACTCCAATATTTATATAAAAAATAATTTTAAAAATTTAATCACTTTAAAAAGGTTCCAGTGTCACATAGTTTTAAAATGCATAGAAAACCTTTTAAAACATAACCCCGGTAATAAAATGACTTACAGGAAGTTCGCAGTTAAAGTTTTTTTTTATAAATTTTTATTATGTAGACGTCAAGTTCATAATGAGTTTTGTAACAAAAAGTTCAAGTTCAAGCGTTTTCTTTGTACATAATTAAATGTAACATTTTAGATTTTTAATGAAGTATATACGCCAGCATAATTTATTTTGATATAATAAAAGTTGTAATGCAATAAAATTGTGGATGTACATACATATATTAAAATCATCAATAACACTACAATTTTTATATTTAAGCTGTCGATTTTTATCTTCTTGGTATTAACTTAGTATTTAATATATTGAATAATTATTTTAGCAATTTTAATAATAAAAAAAGTTAATCCAGGTCCATAACAATATGTATATTATTAATAATAACATATTTCAAAATTTGACAACTCCTGTATGAAAAATCCGCGACATTTGGCCAAATTAAACTTTGTAAGTAATTTTCTTATAAGAAAATTACTTACAACGTACCCTATAGGGTTAATAATTAATCATACTTTTACATACAACAAACCAAGCTGGTAACTGCAACAAACTTCATCAACTTATGTTAAATGCGACTCTAGTGGTGCACTGTGGTATGTGTTTCATAAATCCAATATCAGATGCGGTTTTATGATTGATGGAATATATTAAATATTAAAGTTATACGCCGTGCTATATAATCGCAAGTTAAGGGTGGTAACTTACAAATTGGTTGATTTGAGACGTTTTTCAGAAATCAGATTTTTTTTAAATCCTTCTACGTGACTCATTTGTTCGTGAAGCTGTTTTTGGAAGCTTATTAGTCACGTTTGTAATTGTTCCTGCGTCAATTTGTTTTAAGTTTGGCAAGGATTGGAAATGTAGGTCCTAAATACTGTCACAAAATTAATTTTAAGGATTAAGAATCTTACTCAAGAGAAACCACTACTTAAAGACCTGCTTCTTAGGCACTCAATGGTTTGATACACTCTTAAGTTAAATTAAACGAAAACTGTATTTTCTTCGTTTAATTTAATTTAATGCAAAATTTAAAACTTCCATAATTAAAAGAAAATTTTGAAAAAGGGATTTATTTAGACGATATCATTTATATATAATCTTTCATAAATGATATACGAGGTGTGTTAAGAAAATATAGGGAATTTTCGTTTTTTGAAACAAATATTTATTTATTCGTCTACATTAATGTTGTCGCCTTCAAAATAGTCCCCATTGGATATTATGCACATGTGCCAGCTCTTCTTCCAATACTCGAAACACTTCTAAAACTCGATCTTTGGGATAGCCTTTAGTTCTTTCAGCGATGCGCTTTTAATGTCATCTATGCTTGCAAACCGACGGCCCTTTAAGGTTCTCTTTATTTTTGGGAATAGGAAAAAGTCAGACAAAGGCATGTCTGGCGAATATGGAGGCTGGGGCATCATTACAGTATTGTTTTTGGACAAAAGTTTTGTTCGAAATTTAACAATTTTGGAACAAATTTTTCTGCCAAGCGTTTCATACCCAAAACATTCGAAAAAATTTCATGGGATGAGCCAATCGATATACCAACATCATCAGCGACTTCTCTGATGGTTTATAACCATTTCTTCCACTTTTTCCATGTTTTTATCGGTTGTTAATGTGCTTGTGCGTTCGGGGCGTTCGTCATCTTCAACGTCTTCACGGCCATCTTGGAAACTCTTATACCACTTGTAAACTCTTGTTTTACTTATAGCAGACTCACTATAGGCCTTTGTTAACATTTCACAGTATTTATTTAATTTTTTAAGCAAAATTGGATACAAATTCTTTGATCCATTTTTTTTAACGAACGAAAAATCGCCTAGCTCATAAAACACGTCTAACCTTAGAGGCTGCCACAGACAAAGTAAACGATGAAAACAGGTAAAGTTTTTATCATACTTGGGGGGCATGTATACCAACATAATAAAGAAAATTCTATGACCCTCCGAAGCCGCGAAATTTAACAATTCCGGTTATTTTCTGAACACACCTCGTATTAATTTTCTTTTACATATTCTGTTGTGTTAAAAGTTAACATAAGTAATAAAAATCAAAAAAACTAAAAAATAATAATTATAAAAATGTTTTTACGCCAAAAATGTCTTGTTTAAAAAAACTGCCAAGTGAACTTTCTCAATTTTCTCATTTCTAAATTCATTCATTTTTAAATTGAAATCGCAATTAGTTGACCACGTACACGATTGGTCGATTATGTCAATAAGTACAAATGTATTTTCAACAGAAAAGCTAACGAACACTAATTACAGATTGGATTTAATCTATTTAAAAGGGTCTCTCATCACAAACCACATTAAGCTATATAGGGCAAATGCCTGTATGCTATTCAAAACAACCAAAAGGTTTACTTTGACATTTAAATGAGGAACGCACTCCCCTAAATGCCTTGTATTCTTACCAGTGGCGGCTCGTGGGTGCAAACTATTTTTTTATTGCAGATTCGGATCATTCGACTAAAAATAGGTGTATACACAGTAATAAAAAATAAACTCTAAGCAACACTAATTAGAGTTCACACAGGTCCACACTAATAGTGTTGTTTTATAACACTAAAATTAGAGTTAATTTGTAGTGTAATTTTCCCCAAGTAAGCAAGTATGATTTAATACTATATCACTGAGAATAAAGTAATTTTACACTGTATTAAAAAGTGTTAATTCACCTAAAATTGTGTACTTCTACACTTCCTAGGTAAAATCCCACTTTTGTTCATTGTAAATTAAAACTACTTTGGAAAAGTTCTAATTTTAGAAAGGTACTTTTACTCTTTTAGTGCAAATTCTAGTGTAAATTAACACTATTACTTGAGTAAAACCTATTTGTGGTAGTGAATAAAACGAAAAGGTAAATAAAGA